ATTCTTAATTTAAGAATATAGTCTTTTTCGATAGTGAGATATATATATGTTTTTCTATAGAGGCTTTTTATATTCTAATCAGTAATATATATTCTTATCAATATTAGGCAGTATATATTCTTATCAATATTAGGCAGTATATATTCTTATCAATATTAGGCAGTATATATTCTTATCAATATTACTATTTAGAGGATTTTTCTCTTAAAATAAGAAACTCTTCTTGGCGCCTATTTTAGTATAAAATACACTTAAAGTAAGTGGGATATCTGCTCAAAATAAGAATACAATTTTTTCGGTGTAATAATTAAATGTCCGTTGTTCGCGCAAAAATATCTTGAAGGATCAGACGGCGGCCATCTGTTGAGAATGAACCTCCCGATCATTGCCGATATTGTCGAGCATTCATCACCGCAAATCGGAGACGGCGGTATTGGCGAAACGACAGATAGACGGATGAAACTGGAAACTTCGGGTCGTTCGGAAGCGAAACGCACAGGGTGAGAAACTTTTGCCGCGCGCAGACCTCTCGAACGTCGCTGCGAGTATAGGATTCCTTCTCGTGGCAATGTAATATCAGTAACTGGTCACTCCGCACACGCGGCGCAACAACTTCTTCTCTTCTTCCAAAACAGTTAAAATCTCTTCAACTTTCTTTTGTCTCGTGATTTCACTGTCACGTGCGTGCGCCGTATATATATATATATATATATAAATACGTATCGGAGTGAGATACAAAGGTCGCATAATTCAATTTCGCTGTCAACTGCTTTTTATCTTTTCGTTTCGAGATGATGACACAAATGTGACGTTAGTGAGACAGGCAATTATCCGTCTGTCTCGCGCGAATGTGCCGACTGCAGTCGCACACACAGATTAGAGATCTCTCGAGGAGCTCTTTCCCCGTAGATTTCGCATCGCCCACACACACACGCGCTTATTATAACGGAAGAACTTTTAGTTTGTATATCCTTTACGAAGCTTATTTGAAATTCAAATTCAAATCTTATCGCCCTCGCTCGCTCGCTCGAAAGCTACACGCTCGGCCGATTGTTAACGCACAATAAATCGCACAATTATCACGCGAGAGTTTTTTGTTTTTTTTTACGCCAACAAATAGAATTTCAACAAATGCGTCTTATTATTTCGCTCGAGTTTTTTATCGCTCGCCGTTGTTTTTTTCGTGAAAAATAAAATTAAAACAAACGTATATTCGATATATCATATCTCAAGAGATGAGATTCTATTAGTAACGATCGCGTACCGGTTTTTTTTTTTTTTACTATGTACGTTCGATGTCTCTATTGACGACGTTGAACGTTTCAAAGTTTGATAATTACAACATTCTCTTTGTAGAGGAAAAACTTTCAAGATATGCAAATGCACTTTTTGGCAGTCGTCGTAGTGTGCCATACCTGAACGTGTGCCAAAAGTAAGCTCGCGCGTATATACATGCAGTTTCCGCCAACCGTCCCAAGAGTTTGCGTTCGTAATTAATTACGATCAAGAAGAAATATAGAAGCGGAGCGTTTTTTTTCGATAGAGAATTGCGTTGACAATTAAATATCTTACGACACATTTCTCGCGTCGTTGCGCTATTTGTTAATATATAGATATTCATTTGTTACGTGTTTTATATTTTTGTTATCTCTGAAATGAAAAAAAGCGATCGTTTTCTGTTTTGCGTTTTCTGACAAAAAAAAAAGACAGAAATTGCACATCAGCCAAATGATACAATTAATACAAAGTTTTAGACCACGTAGCGGGAACGCTACATAATTCCATTACTCACAAATATATATATATACTACATGTACATATATAGTACAAATATATCTGTCTCTGTACTTTAGAACTTGTATTTTTTTATTTGCTGTTATTTTATTTTATTTTTTTTTTTTCTTATTTTTTTTTGCACATTCTTATTTGTTCGTGCAACGAGACGCGGTGCAGATATTGATCTCGTGCGTGTGCGGTTATATATATTAAATTTTAGATTTGTGCGAAACCGAGTTTTGGAGAACAGTCGTTGCAGCGAAAGTAGTCAAAAGCGCTCACTCAAGTCAGTTATCGATTCAGATTCTGACATATATTATCGTATTATCTTTTTTTTATTTATGTTATGATAACCTTGGTAAATAATTTTAATGTATGTAAAGTCAAGAACGAACCAAAAAAAAAATACTCTTTATAAATTATTTTAAATTCCCCGCAATATTTTTTATCGCTTTGTTGCAATATTTCGTTTTTTAGTCTCGCGAGACAACAAAGCTATTTCACCCTTGAAAAATAAATCTTATCGTCTCTACATATACGTGTCGCTCGACGAATCGCAATAACAAGGTTTATGATATCGCGTGTGCGCAAACAAATACAATTGTGACGGTATCTGTTATCTTGCGCGACCAAAGCAAGTTTTTCAGAAAAAACCTGTTCGGAATATTTTTACTATTTTTAATATTTTTTCCTAGGTCGAAATCGATTGAAAACTGATAACAAAAAATTGTGTGTAAATAAATATTCTGAATAAATTTTATTAGACATTATTTCAAAGAACGATATCGAAGCGAAGGTCGAGGATGCATAGCGTGAAAGAAAGAGAGAGAGGTGGCTAATCGGGAAAACCAAAAACGTAACTCACGAAAGAGACGATAAAGTAAAGACTAAGTGGCACGCGATTCGGCAATTTGCACATTTTCACAACCGTGCGTAAACGTCATAAGGACAAACGAAAAATAAATTTGTCCTGCTTTGCGGAGTTCGTGTTTTTACGTTGCAATTGCGGCCATATTGAAGCTACAGTCAGGAACAAAAGTAAGCGAAGACAGACGATAAAATGCGATATGAATGGAATTTAATCCAAAAAATATAATATCATAGTTACATGTTTACATTTAGTTACGTTTTTAATGGACAAAAAATGTCACAAATTATTTAACGTGTTGTCAGTGAACACAACCTGTCACCGCGATGACAGATAGTATATACGTCTTATAAACCATATATAATACACATATGAGAAATGTCAGAAATAACGCATGAAAATCAAACTCAAAAAATAGTGAGAGAGAGAGAAGTGGAAAAACAACACGTGAATAAAGTCGCGTGACAGGAAATAGAGTAAAAAAAAGAATATTATATATATTATATGTAATATTCTATATCTATATATAATACACACACA